GGCGGCGTGGGAGCCGGTGCCGGGGCGCAGGGCCCTGCCCAGGTCATCCACAGCGGCCACTTCATGGTGTCGTCCCCGCACAGCGACTCGTTCCCCCGCCGGCGGCACCGCCGCGCCGAGCCCCGTGGCATCGACCCGACCCTCACCCGGCTCTTCGAGTGCATGAGCCTGGAGTACAGGTGAGTCCCAGAGCCCTCCCGGCACGTGTCTCGTGGACCCCCAGCTCTGAAGGCGTCAGGCTGGCTGAGACCCACTGGCTCTCCAGGAACCTGCCACTAGTTGCCAGCTGGCACTGTCCTTGTCATCTTGGCCATTGGATTGTGACATGTTCAAAAAAAGCCCTCCTGGGAGGCTTCAGGGAGAGTGAATTGGTGCTGGGCTGTTGGCCATGGAGCCAGACGAGATGTTCCTCCTCTCCTCATGAGTAGTTTAACCCTCCTCCACCTTCCTGTGATTCACTCATGGCTGCAGCACCCTCAGAGCCAGGACCTGCACACTCTGTAGAGCAGCAATAATCCCATGGGCAGCCAATGCTTTGTCTTTGGCAATCCAGCCCAGAGCAGGAGTCCTACCTTCCCATTCTGGACTCTGCCCACATGTCCCAAGGTTATTCCAGGGCTTGTAGCAGCAGCAAGGGCTGGATGGCTGCTCCGGGCTTTGCCCAGGACCTCCTGAAAGCTTCTCCCTTTCTCTCCTGCAGAATCAAATGGGTGGCTGCATTGCTCACCCAATGACACAAACCACCCAAAGCCCAGGACACTGGGGATCTGCTAATCCCACAACTCCTCATCCTGTCTTTTAGCACCTTGGCACACATCCTGGAAGGCAGCTCCCCTCTTCTGCCACAGCCCCAAGGTTCTCTCAAGCATAGCATCAGGATGACTTGCCCTACTGCTGTCGGTGCAAAATGGCTCGTGGAGCTTTGCAAAATGTCCAGGTGAAAACCTGGAATGACAATATCCTACTGATGATGCATGAAACCAAACCTCAGCACAATAGCCTTGAAGAGTTGCCCATTGTCTTGTTCCACGCAGGGTCTCATTGAGTTGCTGACCTCTCAAGTCCTTGAGTATTCAACAGAATATGTAGTCACTGCCAGAGCAGCCCTGGTGACACCAGGCACTGGGTCAGCACTCCAGGGGTACTATGTGCCACAAGGCCTGGGACATTGGGCCCACCACCACCTCCTAGGCTGCCAGGTTTGCTCACAGCTCTCCTCCAAGCACAGCTGGTGAAGCTGGTGCTCTGTGGGAGTACACAAAGAGCTTCAGCATAGGGTTGACCCAGCTGAGTGCCATGCTCAGGGGACACTGAGGCAGTGGTGACCTTACTCTCTTTTGCTCTCCCACCCCCATACTTGTCTTAGTCTAGGCCTTGTAGCTTGGGGTTGGAGGAGCAGACACTGATCCACCCCAGCGTGCTGAGGCTCTTGACTCCTGAGATGCCCCACAGCCCCTGTGTGCCCCCAGGCAGGGGAAGGGGGCAGGTGGAGCATCCCCCAGCAGATGTGTGCCACCCAGGGCTGGCCCTTGGTCTGCAGACAGGGCTCCATCACTCCAGTTTTCTCTGCCCCTTGGATTCCCTCTTGCTCCAAGCATGACAATGCACCCCCCAGCCTCAAGCCCAGTCATGGCAAACCATGACTGAGTTGGAGAGTAGCCCTCAGGGAGGAGGATCCAGCTCAGCTACAAAGCATTAGTGCCACCACTGGTGGCCACCAGGAGCCCAGAGTACTAGAGGTGTCTGCAGCTGCCTCGGTGCAGGAGTAGGTCTTGCTCAGCACCTGTGGGAGCAGTTCCTGGTGTGCCATGGAGCCAGGATAGCTGCAGGCCACGGGACTCAGCCAGGGAAGCGTCGACATTGGATGTTCTCCAAACTTCATGTTGAGTTCTCGTGTGGAGTTCCTTCCACCCTTAGACACTCTCCACCCCTCAGCTGTCATGCTGTGCAGCTTCCCAGCACTCTTAAAGCAGGATGCCAGGTGTGGACCAGAGATCAGGTGACTCCATGTGCTGCAGGGCTGGATGTGCCTCTCCACAGGTGGGACTGGACTCTGGCTCTAAGCTCTGACTCTGCTGGTTGAGCTGCTCTTCAGGCTTTTCTCCTCTCCCTTTGGAACCCCCCAGCAGCTTCACAAATACAGTTTTGACAGACTTGCAGGGCATGTTTGGAGGAAGGTCGCAGAGGGGCAAAATGGAGTTTAAAGATATTTGGCACACCTCTACTTTTAGTCTTACTTGATTTGATATTCCTCTGCATCACTGGCCATTTCCTCCCAGCCAGGTTCCTCAGAAGGGCAGCACAGCCTCAGTTGGAGTGACCATCCAAATGTCCTCCAGTCTTCAGGAGCACACCCACAGTTATGTCCTCCCTAACAAAGCAGAAACCATGGAAAGCTGCCAGCTGGGAGGCATCACTGGAGTTTAGAGTCCACCCATGGTGTTGGGCAGGGCTGACTCCAAAGCCACACGAGGTTGCTCAGGGCCATCACTCTGATGGATACAGACCAAGGATGATGAGCCCACCACCTGTCCACCCTGTCCCTGGGCTGCACTGCTCTCACAGGGAAGAGCCCATGGCTCTAATTAGAGCTCCCCTTGTTCCAGCTTGTGTCTGTTGCCTCTTGCCCTTTCTCGATGCACTTCTGAGAAGTGTCTGACTCCATCTCTATAGCCTCCTTTGGGTAGGTGAAGGCAGCAAGTAGATCCTCTCTTTACCTTCTCTTCTTCAGGCTGAACAAACTCATCCCTCACCCTCCTCTTCTGTCTTGTCCTGAAACACCTGAACACCCTCCTCCAAGATTGCTCCAGTTTCTGAACCTTCCTCTTTTATCAGGACCAGACTCAACCTCCAGGGTTGGCCTTTGCAGTGCTGAGCAGAGGGAACTCTCCCTTCTCCTGTTCCCCTGGGTGACTGCTGCAGCCACCCACCCCTTGCTGTCCAGTGTCACACCAGCTCAAAAGGCAACCACTAAACTCTCTAAACAGCGTCATTGTTCAATGGCTGTAACTGAAGAGCCATCTGGGTAGCTGGATTCCTGCCCTCTCCAGTGGTTCTTCACAGCACTTCCCAGGTGTTTATGGGAGTCCTGTCTCAGCTTGAGCAACCACCCCAAGGATCTGACCCATGATCCCCCTGTGGGCTGGACTGAGCATCACCCCCTCACTGGGAAAGAAACACTCTCTCCTCATCAAAGCTTGCTTCTAGAAGCAACTTGTTTCTTCAGGTCCCTCAAAGAGAGGTGACTCACCCTGCCAAGATCATCCTCTTGGGGCTGGGAAGAGGCAGTTCCCAGGCCCTTTGTACCAATTTCCCAGGATGCTTCCAGCAGCTTTCCTGCCAAAGACTTCCACTCCTCTTGCAACTTGCTGCATATCTTGAATCCCTTCCTGTCACCGTTTGACTCAGGTCCGACAACAATGCTCTCGATCCCCTCTCCCCCCAACCCAGATAGGAAAGGAGAGAGAGAAAAAGAGAGAGAGACTTGGCTGGATTGAAAACTAAACTACACAGCTTTAATTAAAATACTAATGAATTATACAAGAAAATATATACAATTATATACAGATATGTTCAGGTATGGGCAAAAGCCTCTCGCCTCCCCCCACCCCAGCAACTCCCACAGCACTTCCCTGAACTGGGAAGAGTCCCGAGGAATCCTGGAGCTGCTGCTGGAGAAAGCAGAGAGTTATGGGGGTCACGAGAGATCAAGGCTGAGGGTCGACGGTGATGGATGAACAGAGTCCTCCCTGGACGCCGGCCATGGACGGAAGAGAAGGGAAGAAGAAGAAGGAAGGAAGTTGTCTTCTGTGGTCTCTGACCTTCCTCTGAGCTTACGTAGATATATGGAATGGAATATCTTTGGCCAATTTTGCTGTCCGTCTAACTCAGCCTCCTACGGGGGGGTCACAGATCTCCCCACAGTGTCTGAGCCGGCAGAGTGCAGGTACGGCCTTGAAGCCTCAGGAGTTAGAAAAACATTCCTCTGTCTTATCAGCCTAGCAGAACACACTGTTGCTAGTTACAAGAAAGCTTACTGAAGGAAAAAAAAAACAGTAAAAAGAAAAATTGGCTTCCTCCTGGCTCAAACCAGGACACTTCCTTAGACTGCTGATTCTCCTGTGGGTGGACCTCCCTGCAGCACACTTCCCCAAAAAGCTGAGCTTGTGGAGCTGAGCTCCTTCAGGATCTGTTCATACATGGCCTTGGCACCACCTCCTCAGCAGAGAAACACTTTCTCCCCATCCCTGCTGTGTGACCCTCCAGTGTCCTGCCATGCAGAGCTGGTCACCTGGGCTCACACACCTCCTGTGACCCATTGCAGGGAGTCATGGGGTGACTGACCTGGGAATTGTTCTCCTAAGGGGAGAAAATCTGGGTGCAGATAGGAACTGCCAACTGCAGCCAGTCCTTGTCTTACCTTGCACAAATACTGAGCTCCAGCAGAAGCCTCCTGTGGCTGGGCCCAGAGTGTGGTGGAGATTGACCTCTTCTCCCCTGCAAATATGGAGAGGGGAGATTTTGCAGGTAGGGACATCAGAGTGATGAGTGACATAGAGTTACTTTGGTTACCCCCTTGCACACTGATGCCCCACCAGTCTATCCCTCTGCCAAGCTGACAGCAGGCTCTGAGGCTTCCTGAGAAGAAGCACAACTGCTGCTGCAGCAGCTTTGCTGTTCTCTCTGGTTGATGCTGTAATCCATGGTGCCTTCAACACACGTACACTGGGGCAGAAATCACCCAGGCAGAGATCCCAACCTTGCTGCCCTCTCCCAGAGAATCACAGAATGTTCAGGGCTGGAAGGGACCTCCAGAGATCATCGAGTCCAACCCCCCTGCCAGAGCAGGACCAAAATCAGGGCAGGTCACTCAGAAAGGCATCCAGATAGGTCTGGAAAATCTCCAGAGAAGGAGACTCCACAGCCTCTCTGGGCAGCCTGTCCCAGGGCTCTGTCACCCTCACAGGAAAGAAGTTCTTCCTCATGTGGAGGTGGAACTTCCTGGGCTCCAGTTTGAATCCATTGCCCCTCGTCCTGTCCCAGGGCACAAGTGACAAGAGCTTGTCCTGCCTTCTTGCTGCCCTCATGTATTGATAGACATTCATTAGATCCCCCCTCAGTCTTCTCCTCTCCAGACCAAACAGCCCCAGGTCTCTCAGCCTTTCCTCCTCAGGCAGGT